TAACCCTTCGGTCCCCAAAATAAACTAGGATTCATGAGTTAACACAAAAAAAACTTCTATATTTTCCAAAAAAAAAAGCATCCCCAAAAATTTAATTTTTATCCAATTTTAGTCCTAAATTTATAATTCAATAAATAAAAAAGACGATTGAACTTATTTGAATAGGCGTGAGACTGATGAGGTAGTTGTTAAGTGACTAAAACACAACTTTTCAATAACTTTAATAATTATTTTATAATTTTAAAAAATTTATGATTGAAACAAAATTTAGTGGGATAAAGTACACAAACGGTTCCCCAATTATTGGGTATTTCGTTGTTGAGTACCTGATTATTAAAAGTTACAAAATGGTCAACTGACTATTCATATGTTATCATCCTTTTCCATTAAAAAATTGATGACAGCCTGAGTTGGATGTTAACCTGCTAAATGGGATATGATAAAAATATGATCTCAGAATCTCAAATGAATATCATATCTCAATCAACATGTTAACGTCCAGCTTAGTCGACTATCAACTTTTTAACGAAAAGGGAGAGTTTGGAACATATGAATAATTGGATGACCATTTTGTAACTTTTAATAATCGGGGACTCAACAACGAAATACACTATAATTGAGAGATCGTTTGTATACTTTATCCCACTAAATTTTGTCTCATTCATAAATTTTTAAAAATCATAAAATAATTATTGTAGTCGAGGGACTAAACAAAGTAACACCCAATAGTTAAAGGACCATTTTGTAACTTTTAATAGTCAAGAGACTCAACAAAGCAATACCCTATAATCAGGGGACCATTTATGTAGCTTACCCAATTTAGTGACTAAACATGTAGTTTAACCATTTTAAAACAATGCTATAAAAAAAAGCAATTTACCAAAAGAAAAAGAAAAGAAAACATTGCCGAGCAATGTTTCCACATGCCAACTACTTAAAACAAAGTCAATGAATCCAAAAGTCCAAAAAGCTCTTAATCAAAGTACAAGGGCCATTACAATCTTATTTATTAATTCAAATTAGTAATAATAAATTAATAATATCTCTTCCAATTCTTTTTCCTTTTTCCCTTCCCAGTTTCATAGTTTTGCTCTAATTAATTTAGATCATCCCGCGTCATACATCTGATTTTAATAGATGAGTCTCCGACATAAATTTTATATGTATACAAAACCTTAAACTTAATATATACTTAAACGATATCAAACAATTATCACTTAAATTAACCGCGTTAATAATATCTCCTCCTATTCTTAAGAAGGCTTTTTGACTTTTCCTAGAAGCATTTATTAAACAAACGGAGTTTTCTATATAAGACCAATGGCATTGTTCATCGTCAAGGAGAATCCATAGCCTCTGAGAAAGCAAGCAGAAGAATCATCAATGGCAGGAGGAGATCTTCTTCTGGGTTTAATTGTTGGTTTCGCTTGCTTTTCAGAAACTTGCTTTGCGTTCATCACTTTCTCTTTGCTGCAAAGAGCACTTGTTGTCACTGCTCATCCACAACGACGCGAGTAAATCAAATTCCCTGTTTTTCCATATTTTGTCTCCATTTCTATTCATATACTTCTGTAAGTTATGGATTATCCATTAGAAAATAAAAGAGAAAATCTTTTAATTAATCTTACTCTGTGATTTTATTTTGGATAAATTACGTATTTAGTACTTAAACTATCAGTTTAGCCTGTTTTAATACCTAAACTCTTAATTTTTTTCAAAACTATACTTAACGTTTAGTTTTTGTTTCGTTTTAGTATCTCGCCGTTAAAAACTTAACTGGTGATTTGCACGTGGCACCTTTTTTGTGGGTAAATTACATCATTCATCATTCAATTATCTTCTCACTCTTATTTTGGTCACTAAAGTTTAATTTTTTTAATTTAATTACTTAATTTTTAAATTACTTCTGATTTAATCACTCTAACTTTCAAATATTTTATTTTTAATTATATAGTGATAAAAAATATAAAAAAATGTCATGTCACAAAAAATATTAGTAATAAAATAAATTAGAGTGATTAAAATAGGAGAAATTTGAAAGTTGAGTAGTTAAATTGAATATTTTTCAAATTTGTACCAAAATAGGAGTGAGAAGATAGTTGAGTGATGAATTATGTGATTTACCCATAAAAATGCAGTGTTGTTAAGTTTTTAACGGTAAGATACTAAAATGAAACAAAAACTAAACATTAGTATGATATTGAAAAAATTAAAAGTTTAAATACTAAAACGGACTAAAATTGATAGTTTATGTACTAAATAATTTATACTTTTACTTTTTGTTTATGTGTTCTTATTTTTCGGGGGGAGATGGGGTTGAGTTAGGTTTAAGTATTAACTTAATATCGTAGATTCATCAGCTCCAGATTTTATTTTTGAAATAAATATGTTTATACAATTCATTATTTTTTGCGTAAAGCACATAAATGGTCCCCCGATTATAGAATATTACTTTGTTGAGTCCATCGACGATTAAAAATTACAAAATGATCTCTCAACTATAGCGTTGCTTTGTTGAGTCCCTCAATTATTAAAAGTTACATGATGGTCACCTGACTATTTATTATGTTCCAAACTCAATCATTTTTCGTTAAAAAATTAATGGTTGTATGAGTTATACGTTAACATGTTGACTAAGATATGACAGTCGTTTGAGATTATAAGATCGGATTTTATTATATATCAGTCAGCACGATAACATCTAGCCTAGATTGTCGTTAATTTTTTAACGAAAAATGATGAGTTTGAAACATATGAATAGTCGGATTACCATTTTTAATAGTCTAGGGACTCAACAAAGCTATAGCTTATGGCCAGGAGATCATTTTACGACTTTTAATAGTCGAGGAACTCAACAAAGTAGTATCCTATAATTGGGGGATCATTTATGTACTTTACCCTAATATTTTTAGAAATATATATTTTTAATTCATCTTTAATATTTTTTCTTTTTAAAATATAAATAATGTTGTAATATATTGTTATATTTTCGTACCATATAAATTAAATAATATATTACATAATTGAAAATTAGAGATGTAAAAATTTCGAAACTCAGAACAAAGGGTGTTAAGTTTTCTTAATAATTTTTGGATAAACTATACATTTAGTACCTTAACTATCACTTTTATTTTATTTTGGTCATTCAACTATTCCAAAATCATACTTAATGTTTTATTATAGTTTCATTTTAGTCACCCGCCGTTAAAAATTAATGTTGATATATCATAGTAAAGTAATGTCAAATCATTATTGAAATACAAAATAAAAAAAATATTATATCAATAGTTCTGTTAATGTTTTTAATGGTGGGTTAGCAAAACCTAACATTAGGTATGATTTTGGAGAGAAAATAAGTTGATGACAAAAACATAATAACAGTGATAATTAAGATACTAAACATGTAATTTTCCCTAAATGTTTATTTAATTTCTTTACCATTAATACCAAATTTATTGATGGATTAATATAACGTTGAGATTCAAACATCCGAACCTAGTTCAACTTCAAATTATTGGGAAAGCTCAATGTGACTTTAAAGATATTAAAAAGGTTTGATTGATTAAATTGTGCAGTTTTGAAAGCCAGAGAAGACAAAATCACAGTGACATGGGGGTTGAATCAAAGTTTCCCAGCAGGGACCGATTCAGCCTATAAAACCATCAAGGTTCAGTTATGCTACGCACCAATCAGCCAAGTTGACCGAGCTTGGAGCAAAACCGAGGACAATCTTTCCAAAGACAAAACATGCCAATTCAAGATCGTGAAAAGACCCTACATCACCACCGCCACCCAAACTTTCGAATGGAAAATAGAGCAAGAAGTGCCAATCGCCACCTACTTCGTCCGAGCCTACGCATTAGATGCCGGCGACCAACAAGTGGGCCTACGGTCAAACTACCGATGCCAAGAAAACTACCAACCTCTTTGAAATCCAGGCCGTCATCGGACGCCATGTCTCCCTCGATATCGCATCCATTTGCTTCAGCGTTTTCTCAATTGTTGCCTTGATGGGCTTCTTTTTTGCCGAGAAAAGAAAGGGAAGAAAGGCTCAACAGTAGTTGATGCATATATACACAAGCCAAATCAGATCAAGCAAATAAACTTACTAAGAACTTCATCTTCTGTTATTTGGATTTAAACATGAATGTCTAATATAATTATGATTAACAACATGAATGTCTAATATAATTATGATTAACAAGATATTTATTAGGTATTTTGAATACAAGATTATATCAATACATTCATGTTTGGTTATGCATCATGTTATACCTTATTCATCACCTGAATTTAATTGAATAGAAATGTATTATAAGTTTGATTATATTATAGAAAATAATTTATATTAGTTAGTAATCCAAACATGTACGTAGTTCATAGAATTATCATGAACAAATAATTCTAAAGAATTATTACATTGTCTAAAGTCCAAATGTAGAAATAATTTGTCTTGGTTGTCGGAATGGTTGACTCCCGAGTATAGGCATAGATGTGTTAGTCTAGACTGACAAATCATTAGACTGGATCCTAGATGAATTAAGATCTTAAATATGCTTAAATATTAGATTACTTGTGATATTTAAAATATATTTACGTTAATCAGAAATAAGGATTACGTGTATGCGACTTACATAATTTGATATATCAAGATCTGAAGTCTCAGAATAGTAAGTTTGAAGATGATATGTTGACTATGTTACTCATATATGATGTAGATGCATTTACAGATATAGAACCACAGCTCGAATAAAGAGTAAATGGGATCCTTTCAGCGATATTGTAATTGCTTATGAAAATATAATGTGGTGGCAACTGACAAGCCTTCATCAACGAAAAATGATTAATTATATTTTTGTAGTAATTATTTTTTATTTTATCTATTAATTAATTGACCGAGTGGCCAAGAATGCTCATGTCATCCTTTCTTGGGAATGTTAATGTAACGATCTGAATTTTTGAGTAAATGTTTAAGTTAAAGTGATCTTAAAGGAAAAGACCGAAACGAGAACGCAACATTGCGTTGAATCTGTCGTACAAACAAGCTCATAGCATTACAGAGAGGAATTTAGTTGTTTATCACTCTTCAATAAATGGTAACAAGTTTTCATGAACTTCAGCAGCATTTATATGAATAGCAAAACATTACATCTACCCTAAGATCCTGAAGAGCACACAAATGGATTGCAGGTTTTTGAAAAAGAATGCAGTACTGGTACAAGACGAAGGGGTACCTTCTTGCGAACGACGAGAGCATAATAATCACTCATGTCTAAATCTTCACACCTTTGCGAATCAGGCAACTCCCAATCAAACCAGTACAAAAGATTGGCCAAAACATATTCAGCTCCGGCAACTGCAAACGTAATCCCGGGACAACCTCTTCTACCGGCACCAAATGGCATAAACTCAATATGTTGGCCCTTGAATTCAACTGAACTGTTCAAAAACCTGTCTGGGATGAACTCTTCAGCCTTGTCCCACAACTTGGGATCCCTCTGAATTGCCCATGTATTCACCAATACTATTGTTTTAGCAGGAATATCGTAACCTGCCAATTTAGTAGCTGTGGGATTTTGTCTTGAGACCATAACAGGAGCATGGAGTCTCAGAGTCTCTTTCACAACACATTTCAAGTAGTGCATTTCATTGACATCCATCCCAATCACACTTGGTTTTCTACCCACCACTGTTCTTACCTCTTCTTGAGCTTTCTTCATTCTACCCACTACTGTTCTTACCTCTTCTTGAGCTTTCTTCATTATGTCGGGGTTTTTCATAAGTTCTGCCATTGCCCATTCCAGTGTGGCAGCTATATTATCGGTTCCGCCAATAAACATGTCCTGTAATAGGATGATACTCAATGTTAGATATGAGTAAGTGTGTATGTTCATTCCTTAAAGGGTTTTTTTAGCAGTTCATATCCAAATTTTTATCTGACATAAACATCGAAAAGGATATTTCGAGTAAAATTAGTGTTGGAACAACATAAATCCGGATTTATGCATTTGAGAGAGAAAGGGGAGGAGAAGAGAAGTATACCAGTAGGATAGCCCTGAGGTTATCTTGAGTTAGACTGATGTCAAGCTTGCCATCCAGCTGAAGATGAAGAAGAATATCAACGAAACTTTTGTTATCCGATGTATAATTATCTCCATCATTCATCATAACCAGGCGATCTTCTATTATTTGATCAATAAAAGCATGTAGTTCACTGGAAACCTTTTCCAGTTCTGAAGTCAAGCCTGTAAGAGCATCAACCCATCCCAAATATGGAAAGAAATCTTCAAAGCAAAAGGATCCTATAAGATCCATTGCCTTCCTTGATAGCTCCCCAAACCCTTTATTCCCATGTTCTCTTTCATATACTTGACCAAGAACAGATCTGCTGATGATGTTGTTCGCAATGGTTTCAAACATTTCACAAGCAGCAATTTCAGACCCATTGTGACAACACTCTGTTATATTCTCAATCATTCTCGAAACCTCTTGTTCTCTCACGAGCTGAAACATTTTAACCCTCCTCTGGCTCAGAAGTTCAACAACACAGATTTTCTTTGCTTGTCTCCAGTAATCACCGTAACTAGAAAACGCAATGTCGGTGCAGCCACAGAAGAGAGTATGAGTAACTCTTATTTGAGGCCTTTCTACGAACACATCGTGTTCAACAATGACCTCCCTGCCTAATTCAGCAGATGAGACCACGAGTGTTGGAGTTTGCCCCATGTGTAAAAGCATCAAAGGGCCATATTTCTCAGACAAGGCTCGGAAAGATCGGTGGGGCAATTTCCCAACTTGGTGAATGTTGCCAATGATGGGAAGCTTTGGTGGAGATGGCGGCAGATTGCGATTCCAGGATCTTGAAAACTTGAAGAGATAAAGAATGGCGAAGAGAAAAGTAAAGAAGATGACAGGATCGAATTGTTGCCACCATTGCTGCAATAACATTGATGGGTTCATGATTGCTTTTCTGCTCTAAAGAAAGCAGATTTAGCATTTGTATTCTTGGAATCAATGAAGAAAGGAAGGGAGACGATTATTTGAGTTAATTGCATAACATGTCCTCAAATTATGATCTTTATTTTAAATTGGTCCTTAAACATTTAAATATTACAATTTTATTCTTAAACTATGACTATCATTTTAAATTAGTCAACAAACTTTTGAACATTTCAATTTCATCCCCAAACTATGACCTTCATTTTTAATTGGTCCCTAAACATTTTGAATATTCCAAATTCACCCCATACTATAAGTATATACTAATCACATCCCTTGTTAATAAAAACATTAGACCAAGTTATGTTATTGTATGTTTGAAAAAAATTAGGTTAAATTACGGTTGAAACTAATTACATATTTGGATGAATTTAGGGATAAAATTGAAATATTTAAAAGTTTGAGGACCAATTTAAAAAGAGAGTCCTAGTTTAGGGATGAAATTAGAATGCTCATAAGCTTAAGGATTAATTTAGAATAAAAGTCATAGTTTTAGGATGAAATTTAAAATATTCAAAAGTTTAAAGATTAATTTACAATGAAAGTTTTAGTTTGACTACATATAATACAATTAACACCGATTATTTTGCTGTTATAGCTTGAACATGATAGAGAAAAAGAAGTAAAATTTCTGCACTATGATCTGCACACAACTCAAAAATCACATGGATATTGGACTTTTGATTTTAAAAATGAATTTTAGGAAGAGAGAATCTCAATTGTCCGGGATTTGGTCTTCTAAATTTTACATTTAGTCCTTATATATTTAATTTGAGGGCAAATTACACAAATGGTCCTCAGATTATAGAGTTCCTCTGTATTGAGTTGCCCGAAAAGTTACAAAATTATCATTTGGCTATAAGGCGTTATTTTGTTGAGTCCCCCGACTATTAAAAGGTACAAAATGATCACTCGAATATTCATATGTTCCAAACTCGATCTTTTTCCATTAAAAATTGATGGTCGTCAAAGTTAGACAGTCGAGATATCATTTTGTAACTTTTAATAGTCGATGGACTTAACAAAGCAACGTCCTATATTTTGGGGATTATTTGTGTACTTTACCATTAATTTTACTTTTTATGTATGTAATGTCATTAGTTAGTTTAAAAAGGGTAAACTACATATTTAGTCATTCAACTAATTTCACGATTTCGTTTTGATCACCAAACTTTTTAAAAAAAAAATCATAGCTAAAGTACGTTTCGATTCTATTTTGTCACTTTCCGTTAAAAAATTAACGGTGATGCTAAAGTGTCACCATAAGATAATATCAAAAAAATTACCACGTCAAGAGTTCTATTTATTTTTCAACGGTGTGTAACTAAAATGGAACAAAAACATAATTTTATGTATGATTTAAAAAAATAGTTGGATGACTAAAACGAAATCATAAGAATGATTAGGTGACTAAATATGTAATTATCCTAAAAAATACATTCTCAACTAATTTAATTTTTGGAGAGATGTTTTTAATGGGGGAAATCCACGACAACATAATGCTCGAAAAATAAAGTTTGATAAACAATAGTGTATTTTTTAAAATTAATTAAGGACATCATTAGAATAGAGGATAAAACAAATCAAATTAAATATATATATATATATATATATATATATATATTAGATTTCAAATCGGATCATAATAGAGGGATTAGACCTCAAATTTGACCATTAATTAAGGGATTATTGTTATATCTTAAGCTCTCGAGATCGGAGACCACGTGTGCATAGTTGTTTGAACGTTTAATGTCAAATGATTAGTCTAGGGTGAACACAAAATAATATATATTTAAAGACTCAACCATTTAACATTGAATGCTCACATATCCTTACATACATGATGCTCGAACTGGAGACTCCAAGACTATCACTGAAGTTGCTTCACTTACACAATGTATATGAGTAAGGATTTACTTCCACAATACAAAATTCTTTAGTTTTACATATATTTAGGATCATTGGATGAGTGAAAATAGATGATTGAGGTTGACTCTTTTTTTAATGAATATATTCTTATTTTCTACTGTTAATCTCAGTCATCTATTTTCACTCATTTAACGATACTAAACCTGTGTAAAACTAAAAGTGTTTTACATTAGGTAACAAAACCTTATATATATATATATATATATATATATATATATATATATATATATATATATAATTGAGGAGATCTGTTTCAGATCCAAGTTAAGGGTTGTAAGATGAATGTGGACCCATCTCTTAGATCATGGGAGTGGCAAGGCTCGGATGTTAAGCGATTGGTTTAATTTGAAAATTCATTCAACTTCCCTTTCTTTTACCAGTAGACAGGGTGGAATATGTATTTATTTATATATTATATATGATCTAACTTATCATTTTTTTTATTTAATTTTTTAATAGTCTAAGATGATTATAAGATAGTATTTGTTTAAAATTTTAAATAATTAGCAATACATACATCCTACAGACCAGGGTCAGTCCTGACTATTTTTAGCCCGGGACAAAACTAAAAAACTGGGCACTTAATTAAAAAATATGTAATATAAAATTTTAATTAGAGTTTTTTTGGGAAGTTGAACTATTTATTAACATTAATATAAAAATTATATAATTACAATTGACGCCTTAATAAATTTATAGGCTCTATTATTTTATTTTACAGTTTTTTAAATATTATTTTATTTTTATAATTTTTTTTAAATTTCTTATCAAAAATTATTTTATTTTTATACTAATAATATATTTTAATTTTTGGGCCATGGGCGGATGCCCCTTTTGACCTGGCCCAGGACCGGCCATGTTGAACTATTTTATTTAGAGTTTTTTTTGGGAAGTTGAACTATTTTATTTTTATACTAATAATATAAAATTTTAATATATTTTAATTAGAGTTTTTTTGGGAAGTTGAACTATTTTATTTTTATACTAATAATATATTTTAATTAGAGTTTTTGGGAAGTTGAACTATTTTATTTTTATATTACATATAAAAATATGTAATATAAAATTTTAATTAGAGTTTTTTTGGGAAGTTGAACTATTTTATTTTTATACTAATAATATATTTTAATTTTTGGGCCCTGGGCGGATGCCCCTTTTGCCCTGGCCCAGGACCGACCATGTTGCAGATGCAACTACTCGACCTTAATACTTTTAAAGAAAAAATTATTATAACCACTTGATAGGTTATATTTTATTTAATTTTTATTGTAAAGTATTAAATTAACCAATAATTTATTTTGATTTAAATCCCTTATATCTTAAGTGATTCTGGATTAGATTAAATTTACTAAAGTTGTATAATATTTTTACAATTGAAGGATTTTCATATAATTTAACTTCTGATTCATACGTGTGGTTGAAGAAATGAAGATTGAATTTAATTTAAGTCTTAAGTCAACTTTTATGGCATGAAGTATTGAAGTTTAAATTTAACTCAAACTCTTAATTATCTTTCAAACTAAATTTGAACTTTTAAGTTAACAAAAGTAGGGTGGCTTAGATTGATGTATAAATTTTATGTAGAAATCACATGAAAAATATGTTTGTGTTGGCAGAAACATTATTACGTTCGTTATTAGTGTGTTTATATATGCGTGCACGAGTTGTATATCTTAATTGCGTCTAAGTGAATTAAAAGAGAGTTGTAAATGGAGGACAAAAATAAAGTTAGTGACGAAACTTAATGATAGAGTTTTAGGGGGCTAACTTAAAACTTTAAAATATTCAGAGATTTAAATTAAAATTTTTGAAAGGTTTAGTTTATATTTTTTTCCAAAATTAAGATCTTACTAAAATTTTTAAAATTTTGAGAGACTTAATAAGAAATTTTAAAAATTATGGAAGGGGTATAATTAAGAACATTTAAAAAATTTAAAATCTAATCTGAATTTCTAAAAATTTTGGGGGAATCAAACTAAAATCTTTAAAGATTTAAAATATATTTTTAAAAAATTTTGAGGTATTACTCGTTAATCTCTCTTGTGTTCCGCTACTGACCCATGAGTAAAGTTATGAAGTATGAGTTTTGCATGTTAACTTTTGACGAATCAAACAGGAAAGAAAGCATATTACTCTCATGGGACAACCTGTAGGATAAGGCGGTAAAAATCACATCACTTATCGCCTTGTAATATATTTCGACTCAAAAATTATTTGACTCATACTCGATTCGATATTTGATAAGTTTAATAAAATTTTATTCAACTAATGCATGTTGGAAAAAATTGTTGTATGACTCATTTCTCGTCAAAATTTTTAGCTTTTTTTAATATATGTAAAATCTAATAATATTATATAGAGCTCAATATAAACATAAATTAAAAATTTTAACAAAAACAATTATCAAGATAATGTGTAAAACAATTCCAAAGTTTAAACTCCAAAGTAATAGTCCAAAAATACACCAAACTAACGTATTATAAATCATTCTTTAAAAAAAAGTTCAAAAATACATAATCAATCTTAAAATTAATACAAATTATATCTTAAAATATATTTTAAAAAATTAAAAAACTGCTCACGGGCAAATTTTTTGAATAATGCATATGGAATAAATTATAAAATAATGGTACCCGTGGATTAATTGCTCGAATAAGACAAATGCTACAGTAAAAATTGAAGACGCATTGTACTCCCTACGTCTAAGCAAAACCCGGGTAAGTCGCACGGTGTTCCACACATGGTGTTCCATGCGTTTTTCACCATCAGAGTCACATGGTGTTCCATGCGTGTTTCAACCAAGGAGTCGCATAGATTTCCATGTGTCTCCCATTTGCATGCATGCATGCCTGCTCCCCCGTGAATGCTCACCCGTGAAACTGCTCCCTGCATGACAGTCTGCTCCTTGCATAGGGGCAATAATATAGCTGCAATGGGCAGTAATATTGGATGCAATAATTGCAGCAATAATGGGGTTGGTTGGGTTTGTAATATATATGGGTTATGGGAGGGTTATCACCAGGAGTAAAGAAGAAGAG